GGAAATGCCGGGAAAACGGGGGGAGCTGGGGGGGGTCACCCCAAAATCCAAACGGGAATGGGGAAATTCGGCTCAAAATCCAGACAGGGATGGGGAAATTCAGCCCAAAATCCAGGGAGAAATGAGGAAATCTGGGACAAAATGGGGAAATCTGGGGGGATTCACCCCAAAATCTAGACAGGAATAGGGAAATTCACCCCAAAATCCAGGGGGAAATGGGAAATCTGGGAGAGTTCACCCCAAAATCCAGACAGGAATGGGATAATTGGTCCCAAATCCAGGAGGAAATGGGGAAAATATGAGGGATTCACCCAAAATCCAGAGAAAATAGTGAAAATGACCCAAAATCCAGAAATAAAGAAGGAAAATGACCCAAAAGCCCCCCAAAAAGGAGGAAAACTACCCAAAATCCTAAGAAAAAGGTGGAAGACTACCCCAAATCCCAGGGAAAATTTGGGAAATGCCCCAGATCTGGAGGGGGAGGGGCTCTGACCTCATCGAATCCCATCTTGTCCAGGACCTTGGGAGGGACCCACACGTGGGGGGAGGGCTCGGCCGGAGGGAGCTTCACTGTGGGGTGGGAGAATCCCATGGGAATGGGGCCCAAATCCCATGGGAATGGGGCCCAAAATCCCACTGGGAATGGGGCCCAAAATCCCATTGGGAATGGGGCCCAAATCCGAAAGGAATCAGCCCCAGATCCCAAAGGAACATTTCCCATCCTGGAGGAGCAGAATTCCCAATCCCAGGGATCCCATCCCAGGATTCTGCTCTGCCCCAAATCCGTTGGGATCCCTTGGAATTCTTCTCTCCCCCAGGATCCCAAGTCCCTGGATCCTTTGGGATGATCCCAAGGCCCCAAATCCATCGGGATCCATCCCATAATCCTGAGATCCACTGGGATGAACCCAAAGCCCTGAATCCATCGGGATCCATCGGGATCCTTCTCTCCCCTGGATCCCTTGGGTTGATCCCAAAGCCCCAAATCCATTTGGATCAGTGGGGATCCATCAGGATCCATTGGGATCTGTTGGGACCCATCAGGATCCATTGGGATTGATCAGGATCCATTGGGATCAGGGGGGATCCATCAGGATCCACTGGGATCCATCGGGATCAATCAAGATCCATTGGGATCCGTGGGGATCCATTGGGATCCATCAGGTTCAGCTGGGATTGATCAAGATCCACCGGGATCAGTGGGGATCCATTGGGATCTGTTTGGACCCATCAGGACCCATCAGGATCTGTCGGGATCCATGGGGATCCATTGGGATCCATGGGGATCCGTGGGGATCCATTGGGATCCATGGGGATCCATGGGGATCCACTGGGATCCATGGGGATCCATGGGGATCTCACCCATGATCTCCAGCTGGACGTGCAGGAAGTTCTCGGCCTCGTCCCGCAGGGAGCTCTGGGAGCGCAGCGGCACCGGCAGGAACCCGAACTGCTCCCGGTTGGTCACGAACATCTGCACCCCTGGAATGTCGGGAAC